TTAAGAATCGTAGTAGGGGTTTTCAGTTGGAAGAAAGACTACAGTAGTTTTCGGTTGTATAGGCAGGGCTTCAAAGAAATAGGCGCATAGTGTTTTGTCTAGCTATTCATATGATATAGATATCAAATACAGAGTCCAAGTAAGAAGTTGTATTAAAATAGTAAATAGACAATACTAGGACAAATACTTTCAAGTTATTAGATCTGAGTCAATAACCTATTCCTTGTAGCCAGTAAATATATTTTAGAAACAGGAAATACGTGGCGGGTCCGAACATTCTTTTGATCTAAATTATATTAGTACTTTGTTTAGTAAAAGTATCCAAAAAATACTGATTGGAAGTGAGTCTGTTTTTCTTTTCTTTCCTCAGATATATCTCTTACGGTATCGGATGTAAATATCGTCAAGCGACTGTTGAACGAGACACGGCTCGCGACTGTTATACGGCTCTCGCGAATGTGACTTGAGCGCGCGACACTGTTGACGACTTTGACACGACTCCAACGTTCTAATGCACATGTTTTTCCTTATTACACCGGAACCATGTCCTTTTTTTTTTAACCCTTTATTGTTACACTGGGAAAAATCAGCAATCGAGAAAATAAGATAAAGTAACATTTGTAAGTGCAGTCATATTGTATGTCTGCATTCGTTAAGTTACGAATGGATGCATGGACGCCAGTTTTTTCTTTCACAAATGCCAGTTTTCTCGTGCACAACCTTGGCTGCTAGATGGGAAGGGGAGCTCTGAGATATGTGTAAGTGCTGTCGTAAACTATTGACCTCTGTCAATTGACAATCAAGTTCTGACAGGAGAATAAATTAATTCTCTCTGGATGTTAATTATTCCATAGAAGGATTCTTTTTGTATGTCAAATTCTATTGTTACCTCACAAAATATTTTGAACGACTTGGCAGAAACGAGGTGGAGAAAAATAAAACTAAATCGATTATATAAACAAAACAGCGGCTGTGGAAAAAAAGATACAAGGAAAACTGATCAAATAAACATGAAGATTTCCTCGCAAATTGAGTGGTTTAAATGTTACAAGGTAATTTGGTATTATCAACCGAGTTGATAGCGTATAGGAGTTTGAAAGCTGACGTTTCAAGCGTTAGTCCTTCGTCATTCGCTCTAATGAAGGGCTATCAGTCAAAACGTCAGCTTTCAGACTCTTAACGGTGGCCAGTTTCCGTTACCAACTCGGTTGATAATATCAAATACCTTGCTATATTCTCCCACCGACGCAGCACCACAATTTCTTTAGAAACTACCCCCCTTGATTATTATGGTTTGAATGTTGTTTTGTGTTATGTAAACAGATATGGGTCATTGGCAACAGCCCTAGCCAGTTATAGCCGTAGCTATAAATCTATATAACTTTCTCGTTGATTTTCGTTTTATTGATTTTCGTTTCGGTCATAACTGCTATATAGTCATTTCGAGGCAAAACAACAATGTGTCTTCAGAGGCTATACAAGTATGAACTTGCAGCAATGTAACAATCCACTGGTCAGAGCCCAAAGAAGGTTTCCTCACAAACTTCGCTCCTTTGGCAAATTTGGAAACAGTAAGTATTTAAAGCTAAACATTTGGAAAAAAGGAGGTTGAAGGGTTTCACAAACAAATTTGTTAAAGAGATTACTCACAAAATGTGTTTCCTGTAAAATAATAAAAGCATTCTGAAACAAATCTTGGTTGAAGCTCAAGAGCCGGCAGCACGTGCTGTGGTCTGGCGCACTCACTGCCTCAGCATTTATTTCCTTTTGCTGACCTCGATAATTCACAGAGACTATTTATACCCACGGGTGAAAAGGCATTGGAAAGGGGAAAGATCGCATCCAGCATTCGCACGAGATCCCACGACACCCACGAATTGTTTGTTCATTGCGTTACCAATAGTAAGAGCCCCCTTCCATATGTTAAATTTTTGAATAATAGATGGTTGAATCCCGTTGGAAGTGAAACACTGGCTTTCTAATGGACACTCATATCTAAAGGTCGATTAGAAGGTGAGGAAGACATTCCCTTTTTGCGTTATTTGCACTGGTATGTAGTCTCACGCTGCATGTGCATATGTGTTTGGCACGTTTTCTCTCTTGGAGACAAAGAAAAATCTACAATCTCTTAAACCAAGCAACGTGCATGTATGCATTGTGGGTGGACATTTCCTAAACGGTCTGGTAGTATGTTTATAAAGATTGTTTTTCGATCTTTACTTCCTCCAATCCGAAAAAAAGCGCAAACGCTAAAAAGCACCAAATATTTATCGAGAGAAGTTCCATGAGGCGGAAACAAACAGAGACAAAAATACCATTCCACAGGTGAAGCGGAAAGAAAGGTTTGAATTGTAACAAAAACAATCTCACACTTTCAGGAGGGTAGGGAAGAGTTTTTTGAAACGTGACACGAGCATGATTAATGATTTGCAAGTGAAACATGTTAGTAATTAGGAGGGAAACGTGTTCCAGAATTAATGATAGGTTACCAACGTCTTCACCTGGAATGCACGTCAAATGTGCATCCTATTTAAAAGCATATAAAAAGAAAGCTAGCGATTTTTCTGTGGATTTCCTGAGTTTCTACCCTGAGGTAGAGCTGATCGTGCAAAGCTGGTCAACGGTGCAGTTGGTGAGATTTCTTTTCCGTGTCAGCTGTGAATCCGACTTAAACAAGGTATCATTTAAATGTCAAGTCGGTTGTTAGCTTTCGCAGTCAATGCAAACACATTTTTCTAAAGGCAGTCAATTACAGGATTTTCTCTCCCTTAGCGAAAATAACGAAATGATCAAAATTATAATGTACAAACAATATAGACACATTGAGACAGAGCCTCCGTTAGAGTGGTCCGGTCCATTTGGCCTGAAATACAGATTTCACTAATTTCTTGTGTGTTACAAGAAGTTAATGTTCTTCCAGTAACGATTCTATTGAGCGCCCGGGCTCTTATTTACTTATTGGTAATTTCCAAAAATGATAAAGGAGGGTGATAACAAGATGACTATGAATTTCGGTTTTTTTTAATTTTTTTTATTTTTGAGTATTTCACATTGAGTATTTTACGTTGAGTATTTCATGTTTCTCATGGACTTTAGAACCAAGGGCGTTAAAATACAGAATTTTGTGGGAAGTTCTAAGCCCTTTGTCTTCACCAGTGAATGATATAACAAAGGTAAGTAACTTCCTCCTGCTGAATAATGCATGAATTTTTATTATGATAATCAAATGACGAGACATCCATCCTAAATTATTATTCCGCTATTAAAACAATCAATATTTATACAAAAAGAAGACATACAAACAAACCTAAATTCCACAGACTCACTAGTATCATGTCCAGATGAAGAGGCGATAAAGCTTTTAGTCTTACATTCATTTTGCTGTAGGCGGAAATTAGTATGCAATGATTGAGTGATCGGGTTAATTAGCACTTTATTCAAGTCCCACGTGTCTTATTCATAAGTTTCTTCAGAGTACGGATCAAGGCTTCATGAAAGGACTTACTTCTCTTGAATAGAAATTATGGAGTACATGGTGGGCGAATCAACTTACTGTGGTCGCACTCTTTTATCCAAAGCAAAAATATTTTTGCGAATTGTTGGTTTCCTTAGCTCTTTCAAAAACGCTCGGAATGTACAGCACTCAGAAAGCGACACCCAGCCAGGAGATCTAGCTTTGCATCAAACATGAATTAAAATTATTTAGAGAGACGATAGAGAGATTCCTAAGGTTCTGTTTTCTATAGATTTAGATGAATTTGGCTGTACGATTAAAAATGATCCGGCTCGAAATGAATATATTCATGTTTAAGGTTGCTAAAAGTTGAACCGCCAGAAAAATGGTAAAAATTCTATTAAGACTCTTGCTGATGATCAGCTTTCTGTTGCTCTGTCTTATAAAAGAGAATGAACGTTAAACTAAAACTTTTTCTTTGGACATGCTTCAGCAAAGCGGGAATAAAACACGAGGAAAGACGGGTACGAGAGCGTTAAAATTTGATTTAATTGGTCACCACGTTTTAAGTTAAAATGTAGGCGAGCCAAAGATGTCTATGACTTTTCTAGCCTTTACTGGAATGAAATAGGGATATCAAGTCAACTAAAATGGTGTTTTTCATTTACGCTTCACTTTTAGTTACGTAACGTGGCTGGCTGCTAAGTGGTTAAGTTGGTCCAGCATGATATAATTGTATTTTTATTTTGTAACTTTTAGACGCACATGCACTAAAAAACCGATTAAAGCTATTTCATTTTCACATGATTTGCATTAAAGTTGCGTTTTTTTTTTAGTCTGGTTGGTTCGGCTACTTGAAGAAACCACACTGATTGTTATTGAGTCTTTCTGCGCTCGACCATTACTTGACGGGCCGTTTTAATCTTTCGATCCCTTTTATTTCCTGAGAACTATATAAGAGTTTTCACTTCAGAACTTCTTGCAAAAACTAAAAAAAAATTAAATTAAAAAAAAAATTTTAAAAATCCTCGATTTGAAAGTATGGGAGTACAATTTGTGTTAGAGCCAGCGAATTCATTGCTTCGAGAATTAAACTGCTTATCTCAATAACAACGCATGATAAATTTGTGCTTTTGAAAATGAGTCAAAGAACGCGTTTTGATGATAAAACTAGTAATGAGAAGAACGGAATTTATTCAAGGTAAGTAAGGGATTTTCTCATACATATTTCTTACTCTGTTCTTTTATGTAAAGTCTATTCTATCGGATCCCATTATCCAATTCATGGCGACTTATTTTACATATCTAGTTGTCGTTCTTGTCTTTGTTTTGTTCTAACGCCTAGAGATGGAAACCAACGAAAGAAGTGATTTAAAAGGGAGGAATTAAGTATCTGGTTATTTTGTTTAGAGCGGCGGGCCGATCTCCTTGTTTTCGAAGACGTGCAGCATTCATGCAATGAGCATAATTCCTCACTGATGTTTATAGAGACGTTTCTCCTCATTGGCCAGTCCTTGGCAGCTGGAGATCACACATTATTTGCTATTATTTGCATATTCACAGTTTGGGAGGCAAGGTATAGACGCACTACAGCGCAAACTAGAGCAAAGCTCGTAGGTTTTCAAGCGAAAGTGTTGGCTTCACTCACACTTGACGATGTCTTTTTACAATCCTCAGCAAGCAGAAATCTGAGCTAGAGAATGCAAGTCGACGTTCACAGGTAAGAATCAAAGCAAGAGTTTCAGGGATACTGTGATCAAAACAATTACCACAGAGATTGTGTTGATTTTTCGACCGTACAGCATTAAATTGGTTTTAGCAAAAAATGTTCAATGAAAAAGCGGACATTGCAAAAATTGTCAAGGTCCTCCTTCCGTGGAATTGCCCTTCAATTTTTCCATCAGGGGTGGCTATATTTTTCGGGAATAGATTTCGCAGTTGCGGATGGAAATGCCCAATAGTTTTATTAAAGTTGAGCGGCGGAAGGTTTTCATTGTCATGAACACGCACCTGCTCAGAGTTAGGAGTGAAATTCAATTTGTGTCATCTAAGTCTGCTTTTTGTCTTCTACTTTGCAGTTTTTCACGGAAAATTCTCTGTCGAAGCCATTGCGACAGTTGCAAAAAAGTCATCCGATTTCTTGGGGTGCGTTGCCAGGATTGCAGGTTGGTAGAAGCTTGAGGATTTAACCAGCAATGACCTGACTGTAAAACTACTCACTATCTATGAATAGTAATGTGTATACAGAGCACAACTGACTTGACAGTCTTTCTGTTTTGTGTTTAAATGTTCAGGCGAGAACGAATATCTTCAAATATCTCTCTGATTTATAGGTTGAAATATCACCAACATTGCTCGACATCTCCTTCAGCGGAGTGCGATCGTCGATGCCGAAAACATCATGCCGGTAAGAGAAAGACAAAATATAACTTTTAAGGTGTAATTAATATTTATTTTAACTCGACAAATTCTTTTCCTTCCAGTTCATGTGTATGAATTAATAGTTTCCCAGCGTATGGATGGTTTTGTTTTGTAATGAATTTCAATTTTTTTCTCTTACTTAATGGCTATTCAGGAAAAACAAGAGCTAACCGATTTTGGCGAAAAAGGCAGAATGCTTGTGGGAAGTGGTCATTACATCACGTCACCCTGGAACAACTCGCTCGGAAAGGAACACAACAAACAATTGTACCCTTAAGTGCTAAAGGTAAAATCCGACAAAAACTTATCAATGGACTATACGAGTCCTTCTGTTACAGCCCGAGGCATGCTCTCGATTTTCGACCGAATAACTCGGATGAATTACAAGGGACACCGCTCACGGTAACAATTGAGCGACATCCTTCACCGGAAAGGTATTACCCTTCACGAATTTGTGAAAACCTGACCACAATAGACCAAGACGACGCGGTTAACGAAAATCTTTTGGCAAGCTCCAACTGGCACCGTGCAAACTCTTGGTCAACATCAGCTAGTTGTGCATATTCTTCCGGCTATTCGTCTGCGAATACATCGTGTCCTTCTTCAGCTAATTCACACCGCAGTACCTCGCCTACACCAGATTTTTCCAACATTAAACTTTTAAGCGCAACTTTAGAGGATTACAACGGTGAAAATAACAGTTTTTCAGAGGATGGCGGTCTAGGGATTGGTACTGACGATGTGGATTTAGGAGATGAGTATTTAACAGAACCTTGCGATTTTTTTGCTACTTGGCCTCAAAAGAACAGAATGCAAGACAAGCACAGAGTCAACAAGCGAATATTTTCCGGTAAGTTGTGTCTACATGTTTACCGTTCACATTGAAACTTCGCGTTTTGCCAAGGGCATCTCAGGAAGAGAGGTTTCTTTCGCGGAAAATTTAACTGGAGAACTAGAAAAGCCGGCGTGTATGCGATATTAGCAGTATCAACTTGTTTTAGTTTATCATTATCCAACATGACAAAGCTGAAGTACTGAGTATCGGCGACGATACAAGCAAGGAACTCCTTAATTTTAAATGCCAAACTTAGATGAAGTCTCTGCTGACAGAAAAAATAGCTAAGTACACAAAATATCAGTTTCACTTCAATCACGTTTGTGATTCTTCATGAATATGTATTCAGTAGTGTGCGCTCGCGTAGTCAATATTATTGATGATGATTTTCCTGTTGTGATCGCCGTCGATCTAAGTTGCCCACCTGTTTGTTCTTTTATCATTCATCCGCCCTTCGGGGGCGAAAACTGAGCAAAAACCTGACTCATTTGATCATGACCTATGGACTTGAATTAAATATCATTCGCTACATGCAGCAGCCATGAGACACGATTCGCCGTAAAGTATCTTCAGTGTCGCTTACTGAAACATGGAAACCTACAATGTTGATATATTTTTACACGGGAGTGTTTTTTCGTTAAAATCGACTGGATTTCCTAAAAATTACCGGTTCTGGAAAGAAATTCTTATAGCAGTATCAAATCAGTAGTTTATCTCGGTAGCGCTAATGCAAGTTTGGAATCGTCTCGGGATTAATTGCTCATGGTTGGATGATAGCATTCAATAAGTCTCGCAAAACCAGCTTCAGATGAAAAGTTTCTGGAGCCTGTTGTTTTTAATTCCAACCCAATTCAACTGAATTTTAATCGTTGCGTGTTCATAGCTCTAAGAGCTATGAACACTATTATTCCCTCAGAGCTCAGTTAAAAAAAAGTTGGGAATTTAAGAGGGCGAGTTTGTAGATCAGATTTTTTTCCTGCCATATTTTTGACCCTATAGTCACGGAAAACCTGCTTAGTACTTCTAAAATTTTTTTTAATGATCAGAAGTCAAATGGAAGTCTATTCACTTCCGCTGGCCTGAGTAAGGATATGAAATTAACAAGTAAAGCGACAAATTTTTCTGAAATGATTCTTTGATCTGATCAAAATATTTTAAGGCCCTCTTTAAACCCAGCGAATGAATTCGAAGCTGACTATGGGTTATGCTTGTTATTATCTTTTAACTAAGATATTAAATTTAAAAGACAAAAAATCTTACTGCTTCAGGGGACACGTTCGGTAATGCAAATGCGGAGGACTTTGTTTAGTCTCTATGAATATGCTGTTTTTATTTTTCTTGTTTGGCGAAAATCCCCCGGAAAAAATGTTCAATGAAACTGGTGTTATCTTCATTTGTATGACAAGAATCCCCCAGAACATGTTGTGGTCTAAAGCTGTAGTTCGAGAAATTTACTCAGCTTGATGTCCAACTTGTCGATTTTAATGCGCACACCAGTTGGATGAAGATTAACTAGCATTTTACAACTGCTGACGTAAAATGATCATGACGTATAGATAAGCGATATTTTTTCCCGTTTTCCATTTAGACAATTTACTGAGATTGAATGCTACCTTATGAATTAGAAATCTGCGCTTTTTCACATTTTTACCTTGTCGTTTTCAAAAGACACGTCAATAAAGTTATCGCATTTCTTCGAATTGCAATTAATAATGCATGCTGTCTGTCTCTCATTAATGCACCAATTTATTTTTCTGCAGCTGATGACTTCCAGGCATTTAGGTATCACGAACCACTACCCACGGTAAATAAAAGGTAAGACTGGATCTCTTCACGGATCACGTACAACCAATTAACTGCTAAAGGATGCACAAAAAAAAAAAAAAGGAAAGAAGGAAGAAAAAATTCGTACCTCAAGGTTTAAGGTAAATTAGATACCACTATTTCGGAAATGATTTTATCTTGTAAGTCTCGAAAAGGAGAATAGAAAAAAAAAACGAAAGAACAAAGCGATTTTCAATTTTTTTTTCCCTTTTGAAGCTTACTTTTACATATATTAAGTTACTGTTGCGCAATAAATTGAAAAATGCGATTATAAATGTTTAGAGGTATTTCTAGCATTTTAAATTCCTCGCGCGGGACTTTACTTTTTTCTTTGCTTTATAAAGGCTTTAGATTAATATTTTGATGAATGACAGGATATAAAATGAAAAGAAACCAAAAAAGCATCCACCCTCTATGTAAAGATCTATTTTTAGCCGTCTTTAATTGAATTCGAGCTGAATTCAAATCGTATGTTTAGTGAGTGTCATATTTTGGACATGAAAGCAGGACTTTGTCAATTCTTGCGAAATCGGACGCGATCCAAGATGAACAAGAAGATAAAATTACAGTTGAATACACGCATCAGTTCCTTAAACATGCTACAGATTCTCCACTGTTTCCGGAAAAAATCTAAGTCCCAAGCGAGTCTGGCCTACAAGCTGATTACGGATAGGTGCCACATGCGATTAGTAACATTCATATTTAGTAGTCTTAATGCAAAAAGCTGTCTGGACTGCCAGACGACGCAAGCAATATGCACTTCATTTCAGAGGTGTTTTCTCAGTCAGATATTATGACACACGCATCGGAAGCATTCTGGCTTTCATTTAAAACATTCTGCAATGCATCTTCCGAGTAATGTGTCTGGTACGATAAGTGACGGTAAATTTTATAGGCCTCACTGAATATTTTCTATTGAATCTTCTTTACAGCTTGAAAAGAGATGAGCAGGATGAAGAGGATATCAAGGTAGGGAACTTTTTTGCGGCATCTAACGTTGCAACGTTATTGTGTTTTCCAGCTAACTAATGTCGAGCACGATTGCATGGGGAATGTGTAACGTTCACGCTACATGCTCCTCCTCTCCCAACCCTCCTTCTCCAATTCTTTCGGCGCCGCCCCAAATTTAACCCAAAACACCCATGCAAGACTATTTCCGTATGCAGATCGAACGTTATGAATGTAAGTTTGCTTACATGTATGATGCCTAGAGAAATATTTTGACTTTGAGCTCGAGAATCAGGTACAAGACTAGTAAGTGACAACAACTTTGGGCGCAGAAGTGAACTTGGTGTCTTCGTCTTCAAATGCAATAGCAAGTTAAGGATAACTTAAGATCCTATTTGTTCTTCTGACCTCTTTTTTACATGAAGCTTCTCTAATCGTTCTTTCAGAAATCTCTTCGAGAATGGAGCATCCCTTATTCAGACTTACAGTTTGGGGAAATAGTGGGTGTCAGCCCCAAAGGATATGTTTACAAGTGAGCATTCTATCCACATTAGTATAGGTGATAACATGATTTCGAGTGCAATTTGGCGTTAATAAACAGGAGTAAATTTTTCAAATACAAAAAAATTGCACGAGCTCGTGTAGTCTTTAAAATAATGACAAGTGTTCATTGACGCCAAATTGCAAGAGAAAACATGTTATTACTAGTTAATAATGTACATGAAAAAACATCACAGAAAGTCAACATAGACGAGATTTCGAAAGCTCTATTTGTAATTTGCACTCGTGTTAAAACTTTAAAATCGAGCATGTGACTTGTGAGTGCACTTTTTTTGGCCAGTCAAAAGTGTGTAATTCCTTCAGGTTCATTATTAACGATAAATTTCTTTGTACACTGTTGGAGTTTACGGCTTTTTTTTTTTTACAAAAAATTACTTTGTGGAATTGTGATAACAATCAGCTGTGGCAAAGAAAGATGCAACAGCTCTTGCAGGCCTTTAAAAACAATTTCTAGTTTGTTGAAGCCTCAATTTTTTTATTATGTCAAAAAGAGATGCCATCCTTAGCTTAATAGATTAACCTGCACCGGTGTAGAAAAAAACATTCCTCAAATCCACCTTATTAACTAAAAAAGTGCCAGTTTTGGGAATACTTTGTAATGAGAAGGGGAAGAAGGTTTAAATATTGAAAACTCTTTTGTTGTAAAGTTAGCCTCAAATCTTTATTCCGTTTTATTTACTTGAAAATTTGTTTTTCAGGGGGAGATGGCATGGGGACATCATGATTCACACGCGGCGGAGGTCAACGAAAGAAGACGTCGAGGAATTCCTTAACGAAGTGTCTGTGTTGAGTATGATCAGACATGAAAATGTTGTTCTCTTCATGGGCGCGTGTCTTGAACCACCCAACCTTGCAGTCATCACCAGGTACACATTTTTTGCGGTCTGTCTTCTTGAATATTCATATGAATTGTTAGTAAAAATTGATATTCAATACGGGGAAAACCAATGTTTTAAATGCATTGTTATCTTTGTTTCCAGTGTAAGAAGAGGTTTATCACTCTACAACCATCTTCATGTACGGCAGGATTTGTTCTCATGGCAGTTTAAGATTTCTATTGCGAAGCAAATAGCACAGGTTTGTGTCCACAATTCAGTGAATCTTCAAAATTAGTTCACTTTAGTTGAGGTAAATCTTCTGTTAAGTGCGCTTAGATTACACAGCTGCGCTCTAGAAGAATTTGATTTTTAGTACTATTTGACTGACACCGATGGAAATCGAAAACAAAGAAATCAACCTTAAAATTAAGGTTGATTTCAAAATGCGCCAGAATTCTACTTTGAAAATCAACCTTAATTTAAAGGTTGACTGGAAATCAATGCACAAGAACCGGCTTTTTATAAATACTATTCCTACTGGGAACTTTCCGTAGGTCTCGAAAACGCCATTGTTTTTTTTTGTCAACCGACGCCGTTCCCTTAGATCAGGTATTAGGTTTGTTTCTGATCACTTGACTGGGCCATCGTTATTTTTCAAAATTTTTTGCAGGGTATGAGCTATCTTCATGCAAAAGGCATCGTTCTCCCGGCCCTTACCACCATGAACGTGTTTCTAGAGTCCAAAGTCAAGCTCTGTGTTTCAGGATATTGCAACAGGACAACACGAGTTGAAAGGTAAAGGAAACTGTTTTATCTGAAGCACTAGGGAGCTTATTCCCGAGTAATAAAATAAACAAACTTGCATTGGTCTGAAGTTAAGATGGGAGAGAGCCAACATTACCCTAGTCTATTATTTACGCCGTTCCCAGTCTATTACTAAAGCAACGCTTTTTGTTACTTCAGGGAGGGATATGCCAGCATACCACAAGGACACCTGACATACCTGGCTCCAGAGCTCATGCGCACACTTTCAAGGAAAGGCTGTGTTTTATCCACAGAGGAAAAGAACTCTGACTGGTCAAACGTGTATGCGTATAGGTACGTTTCCTAAAATTTGAAACAGAAAATAAGGGCCTTAGCTTGAGTTATTTGCTCGGGGGAAAATCTTTTGGCACTTCAAAAGCTATAGTCATCTTAAGGTTTACGATATATGATATACGATATCGCTTATGATAGCGACCCAAACATACTTACGAACACTCAAAAGGGTTGCAATTTGAGCTAAATTGTTTGTTAAAAAATGCCATGTTTTATAGCACGATCCTGTACGAGATTTTAACTGGCAGATGGCCCTTAAACTTCCCAACACATTCCATCATATGGATGATCGGCAAAGGAAAACAAGAAAGCGTTGCACATCTACAGTGCCCGGAATCCTTCAAGGTCAGTTGAACGACTAAAAAGCCATGATCATCAGTTTCCGCTTTACCTCTGTTTTTGTGTGATTAAAACATAGAAGTGTTTTTCACCACTCACCTTAATTTTCATTCTTTCCAGAAACTTATAAAAGACTGTTGGAGTAACAACCCTAAAAGCCGACCGGAATTCAGCCGGATCGCTGAGTTTCTTCAGCAACAGAACGTGCGTGTTATCGGTTACATCGCAGTAACTGACTCTAATAACTTCTTTGGCATCTGACACTTGGGATAAATACATTTCACTGGGATTCTGATTATGTTATCTCTTCCTTGATACGATCGTCGGGCTTTGTATCTCAGTTTGATCGACCTTTTTTTCAGAAACCGCTTCTTAAAGCTAATTTTTCTTTATTGCTTGGGGTTAGGGTTAGCAATCCGTGCACTTTTAAAGATATTTATGGTTACTTTTGAGTAGTCAACGATTAACTGATATCCATTTACATTCAACGATTAGCCTGGTCAGGACTGAAAATCAGAGATAAAATTAAACTGACACTCCGAACCCATGCACCACAATTCATGCAACAACACCACATAACACCATGATTGATTCTTCGAGCTAATCTTTTTTTCTTTTTTTTTTATTCACAGGTCCCTCCAGAGCTTGCTCGTAGAAGAATCAGCTTCTCGGAGCCGGAAAAAATGAACTTTGTTGGCCGTAAGATGAATACGTTATCTATAAAGTAATTCCTGCTGCCAAACATGTCGGCATCATTCGGCCGAATAGCCGCAGTGATTATGCTTTAAAATGATCACTTCGAGCAAGTTTACCACAGCATACTTCCATACGTATTTGAAAAGGTGTAATGCTGTTGGAAGCGTTCGACAATAACTTAGGCCAATAGTTATTGTTCTTGCGAGATGAAGAGCTTTCGGCATATTTGTAAAATACTGAGTGGTGTTTCAACTCAGGGGGTTACCGTGCATGGGACATCCTCGCTGCTTCATCGATAATAGAACACTCCACGAATATTTTGGCCAGTAAAAATTATTTGTAGACGATAATCATGGGTGCTCCCAAAGTTTTCAGATTACCTTCGTTTGAAATTCAGTTTTTTTATCTTCATACCTTTTCATGTTCAAACTTTCTGGGGCTGAACAATCAGAGAAAACTAAGAGTCTTGTAAATTCAAAGCTATTAGGCCAAAGCAGGTGCCTCTATGTTTAAGCGACAAGTTTACATTTGATAAAGAAAAAGCAAAAAGGAAATAATAGTGCATACCGTATATGCCTTTGCTCCAAGCATGAAGACAGCTGTCGCTACAAAAACAATGATTTGTGATTTATATGTGATATTTTTTAACTTATATCGGGGTATTTTAGTAAGAAAAACAACTAATAAGCATCAAAAGGTCTATAAAAAGGGCTGATCATTAGAATCGATTGAACTACTGAAATCAAAAGACTTGTTTTGACACATCAGTATGTAGAGAATACTTTCATCTTTTATACTTTATTTGATATTGACCGGCATTGTTGCCTTTGCATTACTATTGTAGTTTTGTATATTTTATGAAAGTTTAATTCTTTTTATCTTTATGTCCACGAGGCGAACTTCGCCCTGTGTAACGCACACATTTTTTCGTATTGACGGCCCCTGTCGCTCTAGGGAAGGAATAAAATGGTAGAACCTTGAAAGTATCAGCAGAAAAAAGACTTGGATTATCCGATGAAATGTTTTGAATACATATTTAGTGCTTTACTTGCGAGGTTCAACATTGTGATACTGTTCCACCAGCATCATTGGTGGCCATAGCATTTAAACTAATGCAGTTTAATTCAAGTTTATCGCGATAAGTTACTGACCGGTTCGTATCAAAGCTGCATCAGGCGCTCAAGTCTTAGTATGTGGCAAACCCTACTGTTTCTGTTAACAAAGTGAGTTAAAACTTTGAGGCACAAGAGAAACGGGTGACCCAGGTAAGGGGAGGTTGAACGGAAATTTTGCGATATGTTCCCTATATGTCCTAAACCAAAGATTCACACGGCAGTGTTTAGTGGGACTCGTGTCAAAGGGAATCATTTTTACTCAAATACAAAAATATTTTTATCGGTTGTAACTTCGTCCAACATTTGAGAACATGTTTTTTTTATACAGGTACTATGATTACTTTTTAAATTTTGTGGGGGGATCGTGTAGTGACTTCATCCAACAATTGAGAGCATGTTTTTTTTATGGTACATTTTTTTCTTTAGGATGCAAATTTAGCACTTTTTAAATTTTGTAGGGTATCGTTTATAGCGACGCAAGGTTCTGTCTCACTTCCCCATGGGGTTTCTCCGTGTATTGATATTTTTCGGGCGGCTTCCCACCTCCCCTTAGAGGTAGGTCAAGTTCACTGAGTTTCTAAAAGACGTTGAATGAAGGGATTAATTTTTTGTTTGTTGTACTGATCTCAAGTGCTGGCCACTTGATAAAACTTCTCCGACTTGCAGGCAATGAAAGAGAACTTGATCAACCAACAAACAAACAACATGTGAAGAAACAAGATATGATTAAGTTATAGGATGAGCGACAATTGATAGTTGAAAATGTTATCGCTATGATCCTCTTCTCTTGATTAGCTATTCTTCTTGTGCTGGAATCGCATAGGGTGAGGGTAGGGTTTGGGGTACACTGCTGATATAAAAGTGACGGGGATGTGAAGAAATATCGATGCAACATTCTCAGGCCTTGTTGTAACGTCTTACTCGTAATGAACCGGTTTGGACTGAACGAAATAGCTATGGTACAGAGTTGAATGGCTGCGTTTGAAGTGATCCTTTTTGAAGTAAGGAATTCGTGTTTTTAAAAACAATCTTCATTTGTTTCTCCGTCACTTTGACTTCTCAGTTTTGTTAAAGAAATAGTTGAATAGCAGGACGTGATGTTTACTATGTAAACTTTGATTGAAAATCAATCTCAAGTAAGCTGTTACATCGCCGAAAACATATTTTGTTGTCGTTTTCGGCTGGTTTACGAATTTCAGTTTTATTTCTTTGACACTTTTTGCATATAGCAGATCAGCTTCTTTTCTCGTGAATGCATGACGATTGTGGACATGTGTAACTGATTTATTGAGTAACTGGTTAATTGAAAGCCTGAAATTATTGTATAAAGAAATCTTAAATAAAAAGTTTGAAAGGAGGACTGTCTTGTCTTAACTTTACTTCACACATGCATAGATCTACCTTAGAGAGACACATTATGGTTCATATGTCTTTAAGATTTTACTATCAGTTAAACTGTGCTCTTGGGACTCTTTCGGATTGATAAATCTCAAACAAGTGATGTCAGTATTCTGCACTTAACATTGAAAGTTTAGAAACTATCTTTTAAATGGATTTACAGCTCCTCCTCCGGCGCCCCTTCTCTTCTAACGGTAATTGGGATTTTGTCACAGCATCCTCTTGAAAGCAAAATAATGAGACACGTGAATTACTTTGTTTCATTTGATTTAGAAGAACACGATCTATTTACAATGTATTCACTGTGTTAAGAAAAAAGACTAAGTTTATAGCTCCAGTTGCGCTTCGAAGATCTGAACAAGTGAGTAAAGAAGGAATTCCTTCCGTAACCTTTTATGGTTCGTTTTCGAAGTCGACCTTAAGTTCAGTGCAAAACCTCCCGTTGAGCGTGATTTGCCTAACTCCTCCTTTAAAACCCTGTAATAAAAATAAGGTAAATGTTTTTTTTTCGGTGAAGATTCATCTGGATTCCTTCGTTCTGGACTTGACCGGTACAAATTTCTAATCTACCTGAAGATTCGCAAGGATGGAAAATCATGAAAGTGGACCGCCCCGATCAATGAAACAGTACGAAAGAAAAACAGATTTACTAAAACGAAGAGCATAAAATACCAAGGAGTACAACAGAAAGAAAAAACTGAAAACTTCATTATCTCTAATGGCAATATCTCCTAAAAGTCTAATCATAAATTGATAGTATTAGGTCGAAGTCTTCTGTAAGCCATCATGGATAGAATGTATATGTAATTTCACCATGTCAAGTCAACGAACTATCTTGATAAGTAACCGATATTACGCTGCTATGCTGATGTTCGGTGAGCTGACCCCTAGTAGCGCTGCTACAGCATTCTTGAACTAAGGGCCGGTACGAAGGCCTTTATTAGTTTCCGACATTTATCTGTATCTCTCTATCGGATACACGAGCGATTCAGATGATTTCAGACTTTAAGTCATTCTTTAGAACAACGAAAAGTGCAATGGCATCGCTCTTTAATGAGCCGCTAAAAGAGAGGGAAGAGCTGGTTGCGAGTTGATATTTCACTCCTCCGTACATGAAGCAGCCATAGAGCTAAACTGGTAGAAGTACATCAGTAAGAGATAGCGTGGAAGAGAAAATGAGGAATGTGTTGTTTAGTTCTTCGGATTTCGAACTCTTTGACCCAGATATCACACCTCAAGACTATGAATTCTACCAGAAGCACAAGGACGCATTGAAGAGTTTACTGGAAGACCAGGTATTGAAATGATCCGTGAAAATAATGATATCATTACCATCGAAACTACCTCGAATCGAAATCGGTGTTCGATCATATGAATTCGTGTTTTTCCATTTCTACCAAGTTTAATCGTTCTCTGGTACATTTAGGACAGTGGGTTCATTTTCAATCTAATCTACCGATATTTGAAATCGTGCTGGCTAACAATAACTGTGTTACTCTTCTCTTCATTCTCCAAACCTCTTCCCCACATGAAAAACAGTGTAAGTCCAAAACTAGTATACAAGCTTACCTCAAGAACAAAACAGCTGAACTATCAGCTTTCGTGTACATGACGTAACACGATCAGTGTAAGAGACAATTTTTTACATAATTTGTCAACTAATATTTTGATGAAAATCAGCTCGAGTCAGAATTGCCCCTGAGAGTTTTGTCAAATGTTTCTATCCTAGTTGCTTATCTGATTGAATCTATATTTTGGAAACAAAACAAAAAAATAACAGGGATCTCAATAATCTTTTAGGAGCAGCAATGTCTGCAAACAGTTGCTTATAATTTCATACTGATTTGTGGCACAGAAAAAAAAAGGTTTAAGATTTGTTGGTGCTAATCATGTTAGCCACCAACACTGAGGTGAATTGTGGTTTTTGTCTGTGTGATGGATGTATTAGCCATCAAAATTGTAATTCTCATGTGGTACACCATGTGAAAATTTGAATCATTTCTAAATACAATTCAGGAAAGATTTCCATTTGCTAGGTGACATGATCAGCTGTTTTACACTGCAGCAACAAGCTCGGGGTCTCTGCTCTTGTAATGGCAGATTATACTTTGACAAGATCTTGCTGGTTTTAAATATCTCTAACATTTTTAATCATTTTAGACACAAGAACGAAAGCAGAAGTTTGTTGAGGCTTTCAGGGATTTTTCATTAAATCATGGCTGTATGAAAGACTTTCCACTTAAGGTATGTATATAACCCTTGATAAAAATTTCAATCTCAGTATTGTTTAAAGAAACAAATCTTAATGAACATTGTTGATTTCACTTTTATGATCAATTAGGGTATAGAAAATAGAAAATTGTGGTTGATTTGTCAACCTGATATCAGTAGCATAAAATTATTTAAGATCTACTCCTTTCTTTAGGAATTGGTATATATGGGAGGAACATATGTTTATATATATATAGATATATTGAGTTAGGGGAAAAGTGAAGAGACTGTAATTTTTTCCTTACAAGCCTGTTTTGTGATTACTAACTCATGAGGGGATTTTGAAGTCCCATGGTGAGTTAGTAATCATGAAACAGTCTTGTTTTAAAATCAGGGATTCCAAAATTCAGGGATTTCAAAATCTCCTTATTAGTGAGAAATCACAAAACAGGATTGTAGGGATGAAAGTATTGTCTCTTTATTTTTCCCTATATCAACATATATTGTGCTCTACTTCTATGAATCAAGCACTGCACACTGGAAAAATTGAAACACAGACTTCCCATATATATATATATATATATATTCCCATATATATATATATATATATATATATATGACTAATTGAAACTTCTGAGCTTTTGAATTATCCTCCATTGATGATGCAAACATTGATGCATTAATGCATTGATTAATGCATTGATGCATTGATGCATTGATGATGAAACTTCTGAGCTTTTGAATTAAATATCCTCCATTGATGATGCAATATTGAGGCAAAGAACCAAATTATTTATAATGAAATTCTCAACAGGAAAGTATATTTTTCATCTTAGAAAGCTAATTTTTGATTTTTAATTGTTTTTGCTCTCTCTTGACAGAATGAACATAGCTTTATAGTTGATGTCATAGAAAATATTTCCAAAAGTTTTGTTGAAGGTGATATTCAGTTTTGCTATTTAAAGCAGTCGGTTAAGAAGCTAAAGTAGGCACCCTAAGACAACAAACATTTTTAAGACCACAGTTTTAATAACATCTTAAGTAACTGGATTGTGATACAAAATGGGTGGCATTAAGCAATTCTATTTCTCTGAATTTCATGCTTCAGTACTGAAAATTGTGACATAAACATTTGGAAAAGATGACATGTTTTTTGGTGGGTGGTGAAATGTAGTGGCTGCTGGCATATTTTGACAACTCTGTAGGACTGTATTTGTTTTTTTTTTTTTTTGCTTAATTTGAGTGTCAATGAAATAATTAACTGGAAGCTGTATCATGGTTTTAATAGGTGCTGACTGAAAAAACAGACTAACATTAAGAATGCAAATTAAAATGAAGAGCACAAAAGAACACAGGAAAACTAGAAATAATGTTCTTATGGTTCATTTTCCTTTTCTGTTTTTGAGCCCCATTGGCAGTATATACAATTTGTTAAGTCCTTTCTGCTCATAAACTTTCTCTGAGGTTTAAAAGTGCACTTTTCTATGTTGTCACAGGTAAGGCAAGCAAAGGTAAATATTTGGTCACAGATGCTGTTTGTCTGCTTCAAAACAGGGGCATGATTCAGAACCTGGGTGGTAGTTCCTCATGTGGTAGGTAGACACCTTTAATTATTTAAACCTGAAATTGTTTTTGTTGCACCTGTGAACCCATAACAGTTCTGCCCTTGATATTAGTATGATCTTGCAGTGTTGATTTCCTTTACTGATTTGTTTGTATTTTGGGGAACATCAATCTTCAGCACATTATTTCATTTTGGTTAACTTTGTAACTCTTATTTACTCTTCATTCTATGCTTTACCATGAATTATAATATATGAACCAGTTTGGGCTTTTAGTCATCATCTTCTCACTTGCTCTTTAACTGTTGTATTAATACATTTGTCTCAACAGTGTGTTGGGAACTCCATTATTTCCTTCTTATCACAAGCTCTGAACCCTTTCACTCCCAAGATCTCAATAGTAATTCTCCTTACTCTCTTTCATACAATTCTTATGATGTCAGTTCTGTGAATTTGGCATTGGGTCAAATAACAATAGTTGATATTTTTCTTTATTCTCATCACTTGTCTGCTTGATGTTGTTTTTGAAATTGTAAGGAGAAATTCTGTCTTAGTCATCCATGTGAGTTGAAGGGTTAAAATTGCTGGGTACTTTATTGATACCTTACCAGAGATGTGTAGTATTGCATGTTCTAGTAATTCTGCAGTCTAAAACATATGTTAAACATTTGATTTTTATATCCTCAGCCAAAGATCCCTTTGTTCACAAAGATACAAGGTATTTTGTGTAAAGTGACAGTAGCCTGGGATTGAGTTTGCTATGTTTTTGATGAATCTATCACAGCTCTTAGAAATTTACATCATTTATCTTTGATGTAACGAAATTGTTGAATAACTGTGAGGTTGATTCTTTCTTTGTTTTTAGAGATGTGTTTCGAAGGCTCTTTGGAGAACCAGACCAAGAGTCCCGATTAAAGGTTATTATCTTTAGTTTCACCATACATTTATACAGACGGAACATATATATATATATATATATATATATATATATATATATATATATATATATATATATATATATATATATATATGAAACAATTTTGCATTATTTTTCTTCCTTGCTTTTAAAAATTCTATTGAAGTTAATCAACAGTTAATCATCAAGAATGTGGACTTGATGTTTATAGGCTGTGGTGGTATTTCCTCTGTACGTGAAGTTCGGTGGATCAGTTTGTCGCTATTTAAGGCGTTGGCTAGAAGCAGGGAAACTCGATGAGCTTGGTGTCACGTCCTTGTCACAGGTGCCTGTCAGCAACTCTGAATCAACCCAAAGCGTAAGCACTAAAGAGGACAATACCACAAAAGCTTCGTCCACTGAAGTCGTCAAACCAAGCGGAGGTCCGATGGTGGCAGTGGCTACTATCGGTCGGAATGGAGGAGCGTCAGACAACTCTGAGGAGGAGGAGGAGGAGGAGGAAGAGGAAGATAGCTGGGAGGCCAAAGTCATAAGAGGTATAACGTCAGTGCTAACGGACAGGGGGGGAGCCTCTGCTATTGATTTCATGGAAGTGTATAAACGGGACAAAGACGGCTCCTACAGGAGGCTGAGAGAACAGTTTCACCTTGGAAAGCCTCACCCGAACGTCGAATTTGAAGAGAGGTGTAGGAAGAAAGAGGAAGAAGTGATTGAAGGTAGTCGGCTACGTGAGGTGATTATGAAGGACTATGCTGAGAGCTGTACTAAGAAGAAACACGCCTGTGCTAACTGTAGGCAAGTTGAGAGATACGCGGGAACGTTTAAGAAGTGTCAGAGGTAAGGGTACCTTTTGTATCTGAACAATGGCTTCATAATGGTGGAATGCTTCCAAAGCGTTCATATTTAGGCACGAAGCAGGTGAACTCAGTCTCACCTTGAGCGCAAGTTCTGTGTGATGATTTGTTTTGTTTTGTTTTTTGTTCTTTTTTCAGTTTTGCGGACTGAGGTGGTAATCCACGATTCTCAATTTCCGGCAGAAAAAAAATCTCGTAAACTTTGCTACCGTTAGTAAAAAAAAAAGTTGATTTATGACATCTGCTTCCAAATGAGTTGTGAATTTGTATTTTTCGTTGTCAACTCCAAATAACTTGACATGTAAGGAATTGGAAAAGATGACGTTCCCTTCCCAACTTTTTTTTGCTTAGATAGAAAAGCGAACGAAGATATATTCTTGGAAGAAATGTTACTCATCTGAAACTGCAAGAGTTTGTTCCCGCTACGCCGAAAACAAATTGTTAATTAGCGAGAAAAAACTCTTTCTGGATTCTCATTTTACATGATGTTTGTTTTTCTCTGGGAAACCTACTAGTCTCGATCGTTTATTCTTTTACATATTCTGATAGGTGCAGTGGAAAGGGTACAAGATTTTACTGCAGTCGTAAATGCCAAGGTGAGACAAAGTGGCGTGAATTTTGACAACTGTTGATGAGTTTCAATATTTTACTCGAGGGAACTCAAACAAGTGGCTTGAAATGGGGCCTAACACTTGATCAACAGGTCACCCAGCGGGAAAACTTAAAGTACACAGGAGAGTGGAGGTTTAGGATTGAAACAATAAACTTTGTCTTTAGATGAGTATTGACTGCTCTATTCTATTACTAGGTGAAGACTGGGTTTCGAGGCATCGACAGGACCACTCTACAATGGATTTACCATCATAAAATTGTTAATTTGCTGGCCTATTTCTCTCCACTATGGTAATCAAATACGATTCTCATAGTTTACTGAAACGATCACTGAAGAAGTTCTCAATAGTTACCTTTGTAAAGTTTTGGTAAGTGAGAAGTAAAACTTAGATACTGTGCGGCCATCCAGCGAAGAAATAACCAACGTGTGAACGTCAAAAAAAGAAATTATGCCAAATAATTTTTTATGTGCTAGACTGCCCTCAGGTTCATTTACTGATTTTTGTTGACTGTTATGAATACAAGTGCATGGAATCTCCTTTGCAGCCGTTATTTTGTCTCGTTATGCAACACCTCTTTCCCCCCAGAGAGAGATAGGGCGTTGCGTGATGAAACCAAACAACGGCTGCGAAAATATGACACAAGGTGATCCTATCGAACGTAAAATGTGGATAACAATTTACCACACTGCCGTCTTGAACTGTATGTATAAGGTCAATTCTATATCTATGTGGTAATAAGGTAACTCCCATAATAAAGGTGTAACTTGTGAGGTTGATGTTTAGTTCCTGTGGACGATGTTTTGAAGTACGCATGGTGACAAAATGTTCTAAGTACTGCACAATAAGACAAACAAGATTTCAAACCTTTATTCTCGTACTTACCACCGGTATCCAGTTAGATCGCACCATGGTTAGATCGCTCCACTCGGAAGTTAGATCGCTCCATCAAATAAGTTACTTCGCT